TTGAGTCAGGTTCCAGCACAGTTTAGAGGAATTAAAGAAAGCACAAGTATCTACACTTTAAATGTTTTAAGGGTATGGGACAACTTACACAAAAATATGAAATGGGAATTTAATTCTATATTAATGCCTCTCACAAATACTGAGTACTTTCCCCCGGGAAAGGATAAGATATCAGGGAGATGGTTTAGAAAGGAGGATACTCAACTGAGAGACGTTTTGGTGGAGGGGAAATTGAGACCACTTAAAGAATTAATAGAGAAGAAGGGAGATATCTTCACTAGAATAGATGAGTGGAAAGATCATCAATTGAAATGTTTTATTGGAAATCTCCCGAAACCCCTGAGATTAAAACAGGAGTGGAATATGTTTGAAAGGTTGTTAGAGACACGAAGGGATGGGAAGCACGGTATTTCAAAAGTCTATAGAATACTCACAGAATTAGACACAAACACAAAGTTAATTTTTATAACAAAATGGGAAAGGGATATGGAAGTAGGGTTTGATGAGGACAAACAGAGAAAGATGTTTAGATTGGTACACGAGAATGTTAGTATGAGAGGGGTTGAGATAAATTATAAGTGTGTGACACGATGGCACATTACACCGAGTGTTGAGCACAAGATGAATGGGGAAAATTCAAAAATGTGTTGGAGAGGATGTGGAGAAATAGGCACGGTGTTTCACATATGGTGGGAATGTCCGAAAATTCAGGTTTTTTGGAAGATAATAGTCAAATTGATTGAAGAAATAACTGGAATTGACATAGGGTTAGACCCAACGACGTGCCTACTACATAATGTGGAGACATCTGTAAATAAATACAAAGAGTCAGGTGTATGGTACTACTTAAATGCTGCGAAAGGTTTGATACCCAAGTTTTGGCAGAAATCTGAGGTACCGAAGGAGGAAGACTGGATTAATAGAGTAAACCAGATAGGTAGAATGGAAAGATCATACCATATGCAGGAAGATAGGATGGGAGTTTATTATATGAGATAGGAAAAGTGGGAAAAAGCAGGTTTGAAAGAAAAATATAGGAAACTTTAAACTAGGACGTTAGCTAAAAATTAATAAGCCTCGAGAGATTAGAATGGGTTGGAGTATGCAGAGGGGGAGGAGGGGGGAGGGGAGGTGGGAAGGGTGGGGGTGGGTTGGGAAAGAAAAGAGTTTTTAGAAGGGGAAATTTAGAAATTATATAAATGTCTATTTATATGTGAATTGTCTCCCTTTATGGGTATTTGTATTAATATGAAAAAATTTAATAAATATTTAAATTAAAAAAAAAAAAAAAAAAAAAAAAAAAGAGAACAGAGGAAATGGGAAGGGTATTTATAAAGTTTTTTTATATCTATACACAAATGTTTTGCCTTTCATTTCTATTTTAAGCTGAATTAGTTGTTTTGCAAGGTGAGGGTTTACATTCACTTTAAGACCAAGTTCTGGTCAAGACCTGACTAAGAAGACCAGAATGCGAGACACTGAGTAATCTCTGGAATTAAAGTGCCTGTGTTCATACCAGGAAAGAAGGATTTCCAGGTATGACAGTAGATCTTCCTGTTAGGGTTTGTAATTCCTACCTTACTAAATGCAGAAAAAGACTCCTCTCCTCTATCTTTTATGACCTAGGCTTCAACAACTATGCCAATAAAGCCAGAGACTGAAGCAGGATGGAATAGAGAGCCTAGGGACAGCAAACCTGACCTGTTGGGAAAAGACTAGGGATTGTCTGCTAGAAGTCTGAGTATGTCTGTGCCACTATGTGACACACAGCCTGTGCCAGCGGGGAGATCTGCACTTCCAGATTAGACAGGCTAGATCTGGTCTTGGTGTTAACCACTGTCACGAGTACAAGTGAGAGAGAATCAAAAATTGCCTGGAGCTTGCATGTTCTCCCTGTGTCTGCGTGGGTTTCCTCCAACACTCCAAAGACATGCTGGTAGGTTAATTGGATCCTGTCTAAAATTGGCCCTAGTGTGTGTATGTATGAATTTAGGTCAGGGACCTTAGATTGCATGCTCCTTAAAGGTTAGAGACTGATGTGAATGTGTGTGTATATATATATCGCTGCGTAAATTGACAGAGCTATATAAGCACCTGTAATAAATAAAAGTACGAGTTGTCAAAGGTAAGATCACTTGTAAAAAAAACAATAAAAACAAAAACAAGATTTTCCTTGTGCTAAAAAACGGTGTACGAATAAAGTTTCAGCACCATAGAGAGCTCCTGTGGGCCAGTTTGTCATGTAGTAGCTGAGTACACTATAAGGGCTCTCGGTCGAAGTGGCAGTAAAATGTGCGACCTGTGGCATGATGTAACAACTGATCATCCACCCGAGATGAAGTGGGTGAGTTTTTTTTTATGATTTTAGGAGGCAATGAAGAGTTAATTTAAATAAATGAAAATAAATACAGGAAAAAAAAAAGTGTTTAAATTAAGAGTGATTTCTCTGTGAACCAGAAGAGGTCCCTCACCTTAGGACAAGAGCACAAAACTGAGGACTCAGGGAGTGGGGTAGTGTTACAGGAGAGGCACCAAGGGGGAGTGTCCCCAAAATGTTGCCATAGTCTAATCACCTGAAGATTTGAGCCTATAACCCAGGGTCTATGAATACTTTAGTTGTGTCCTGTACAATACGATTAAGATAAAATGTTCTTTATTTAGATATATTTTAAGATTTGTTTTTTATATAAAAATTATAATGAAAATCATGTACTCACTGAAAAGGACACGTTCGTGAAATTTCATGGAGGTCCTGACGAAGCTGCATTACACTAGACTTTGGTGTTGGCATTTAATGACACACTGACCACATACAGTACAACCTGCGTCCCGGAGTCAAGGAAATCAAGCGGTTCATGTGCCGACAGGCCACCGCAGAGATTGCCAACATAGCCGGCAAAAGAAATATTTGATCTTGGAGAAGCACAGGATGACTGAAGCACACAGTGGGAGGAATGGTGAGATGGTCTCTTTAAGAATGACGTGGCATTAATGAGTTTACGCACATGATGGGACAATGTATGCAACACATTTACCCTCTGGCTAATCTGAATACCTGCATGCACATGAACTGCCTTCCTACCTGCTACATACGTGCCTGGCTCTATATAGCTCTCGGCTTGCCTCTCTTTACTTTAAGTACACAAGTATCTGGTGGCAAACGTACGTTATGCACGAACATTCGATTTTTCAAATTTATTTCAATTATTTGAAGTACTGTTTATTATACTAGGGTAGCTGCATCAAGTTGGCAACTACAAGGGCAAGGCATGATGAATTACTAGTTTGCCATGTTTTGGCTTTTTCTTTAACCACCTCCCGTCTGGCTATTGTATATAAACGGCTGGACGGTGGCAGTGCACGGTTGGGTTGGCTTTTTATATACAGCCTCCCTGCACCCTGCTTGTGCGCGCTCCCTGGGAGCGCGCAGCACCGCAATCTGGTGCCCGCTGTGTCCTCAGTGGAACACCGATCAGTGGAACACTGATCGTTGGACGGGACCTCTGTACGAGGTCCCAATCATGTGATCACTGATTGGCCAATCAGTGATCACATGCAAAGTAGTAAGCAAGATGTCACTTATGACATCATTGCTTACTACATGTGAAATCTGTGAATGATCACAGAGGTCACATGGTACAAGGCTATTCACAACAGCCTTGTACCATGTGAGAAGCTGTGACCAATCACAGCTCACTCAGTAGTTCTCAATGGCTGCAAGAATGCAGCTAGAGAGGAGAAATGATTGCTTTTACATCCTTTATGGGTGTAAAAGCAATCAGTAAAAAAAAAAAAAAAAAAAAAAAAAAAAATCTTCATCACCCCCCACAAGTAGTACAGTATCACCATGGTGACACTGTACTGCTAGGGTGACAGTATGTAAAAATAAATAAATAAATAAATGTAAAAAAGAATGTTTGAAAATTATAATTTTTGGTTATAAACTAATTTGGGTTATTTTTTTACTAAAAATATAAACGGAATAAATTTTGGCCAAGATTTATGATGAAATACTATTTGCAAAATTTTATAAGAATATCACTTTTTTCAAAATTTTTTTACTTTTTAATTTACATAGCAAAAAAAAATAAAAATCCCAGTGGTGAATAAATGCCACCAAAATAAAGCTTTATCTGGCTCAAAATTTTTAAAAAAAATTCATATGGGTACAGTGTTGCATGACCGCGCAATTGTCATTCAACGTGTGATAGCGCTGAAAACTGAAAATTGGCCTGGACAGGAAGGGGGTAAAAGTGTCCGGACTGGAAGTGGTTAACTTTTACTATCATGCTTGGTCATAAGCAGGGTCACCATGATGTCAGGAAGTTTATCTAGGTAAATAGGACAATGTTGTCTAGTTTTTAAGGTCTGGTTTTGCCCATTTTGCAGTGCTTTTTGCGTTTTTTGCACATGCATTTTGATGCTTTTTTCAATAAGTTTTGCGTTTTTTTCTTTTGGGCCAACTTGCTGCCAAGCAGATTAAAAAATGCATCAAACACGCGTGAAAAACACATCAAAAACTCATCAAATGTACGAAAAACGCACTACATGCATTTTCTGCAGCATCTCCATTGAAGTCTACTGAACCAAAAACAACGTTTTGTGCTTAAAAAAGTCTCTTTTTTGAGTCGCAATGCTGTGACTCAAAAAAGCATAGGAAACCATGTTAAATAGACTGCATTGCGTTTCTGCAAAAAGCACTAGAAAAAACACATAGGTGTGAACCAGTCCTATAGGGTGAGGTGAAGGGTATTTGGTTTACTCATTAAATTTTGTAACTTTGTGTATTTGGAAAAATCTAAATAAATAAATATTTTGAGACTTTTGTAATATAAGTCATATGTGTCAATTAGAGCAAGCTTCTTTATGGACCTAGGTGTCTATACCATGGTCCGCGTTGGAGGTTTACACTTTCAAGAAATTAAGCAGCAAACATCAAAACAAGATGTTTTGGCAATTAAAATTTAGATCCTGACTTGGAATTCATGCATTACACTTACCTGTAATGGAGTAGCGCAGGTGTACAAGACATTCTGATGGACAGTTTGTAAATGTTTAATAAGATGCTCAGGACCAATAGACCAACCAATCTTTGAAAAAAACAAACAAAAACCAACTAATTTAGTAATAAGAAAATATTTTAAGACTCTGATCACACCACTATAGATATACACCCTGCCCTTAAATATTCTATCAATCTTTGCTAGAATAGGGAAGAGTTGAAACTTATGTCAGGGTTTTATTCCTATCTGTGTCTCTGATAGGGAGATTACTCCACACTTCCTGTTCGGGTGACCACTGTCACAGGTACACATGGTAAGGTGAAATCTTTCCAATCAAAGACAATCAACCTAAACACAAATCTGACAGGCTTTAACATTCCTCACATTAAAAAAAAAAAAAAAAAAAAAAAACTGCACGACACACTCTCTTTAAAATAGTCACATTACTACTTTTTAGGTAACTGGTCATTAGAGAAATCCCAATGCTGACCTCCTTTTGAAAATGCTAGTGCACTTTTAGTAAAAGGTATGCTAGTTCATCCTCCTTAGCCCTCCTAACCTAAAAACTTCCCATCTAATGTCTTACTTAGCTCAGCAGGACAGAAACGGCCTCTTCTGTGGTTTATTTATTCCAGGTCAAAATCTTCATCAAACCTGATTACCCCTTGGCAGTGAGCCCTTAGACTTGAATGACACCACACTTCAGGTGTTTCCAACCTCACAGTCCATGTGCCATCACTGTGCAAAGGAAGGCACCACTTAGGGTTACCATCCAGAGGTTGTGCACTTGTTCTTTAATACATTGTGAATCACTCAGAAAATGTATTCAAATCTGGAAAGTCATGAATCTTGATCTGCACACAGCCAGGCCTTTAACATTTTCACAGATGTCAGCAACAGCAGCCTTTATGATTCTCTCATTACAATTTTCCATTAGCAAAGCTAGCACTTTATATAATAGGACAGTCTGGTTATAAGTCTAACCACTAAAATCTTGTTTTCCCACAAACAAATAGATTCTGGTATACTATAAGGATCTATGTGAAAGTGTGCTGCATTATTCTAACCTTTTAATTCCCTTGGAGGACCATCTGCTCTAGAAATTATCACCCCTGCCAACAGTCATTACTCCCAAAGGGAGTCCTTCCTAGGTAATCTTCTGTGGTCTAAAGTCTCCCATCGGAAGTGTAATTGTCAGATATATGACAACACACATCAAATAGAATTGTCATACAAATAGGCGCTTATGCAGGCCATAGATGGGTCGAAAATCGGCCGATTTTTCGGCCGATTTTCGGATCGTTAGTGGGCTATTTGTTCGGCCATTTTTCGGTATTTTGGCAGATTTTTTTTATCGGTAAAGTTGTAAAAAAAAAAACGGCCGATTTTGCCGATCGCCGATTTTCGCGGCAATGATGGGCAAATCGGCCAATTTTTTACCGGTAAAAAATCTGTGCATGAGCAGTGACCTGCAAGAGGAAGACAAAAAGAAGAAGAAGAAGAGGATGAAGAAGAAGAAGAAGAAGAGGATGAAGAAGAAGAAGAAGAGGATGAAGAAGAAGAAGAAGAGAAGATGAAGATGAAGAAGAAGAGGATGAAGATGAAGAAGAAGAGGATGAAGAAGAAGAAGAAGAGGATGAAGAAGAGAAGAAGAAGAGGATGAAGAAGAGGATGAAGAAGAGGAAGAAGAGGAAGAAGAAGAGAGGAAGAGAGAGGAAGAAGAAGAGGAAGAAGAGAAGAAGAGAAGATGATGAAGAAGAAGAGGATGATGAAGAAGAGGATGATGAGAAGAAGAAGAAGAAGAAGAAGCAGAAGAAGAAGGATGATGAAGAAGAAGGATGAGGATGAGGATAAAGAAGAAGAAGAGGGTGAGGATGATGAAGAAGAAGAAGAAGAAGAAGAAGAAGAAGAAGAAGAAGAAGAGGATGAGGATGATGATGAAGAAGGATGAAAAATAAGAGGAATTCCAGTACGGCAAAAAAGTGTCCCTGCAGAGAGCTCTGCTATTTCTTTGACAGTTCTTTGACATTTACAGCGGTTGCAACATTGTATCTATTTGTTTCTGAATAAAAACATCTGTATCCTAAATTGATACAAATAGATACAATGTTGCAACCGCTGTAAATGTCAAGGAACTGTCAAAGAAATAGCAGAGCTCTCTGCAGTGACACTTTTTGCCGGCTGTAGACGGGATGAAAATCGGCCGATTTTTTTTACCATTGCTGGTAACGTCGGCCGCTTGAACGACCGATTTTTCATTTTTTTAAAAGAAAAATCGGCCGTTTTTCTTTCCGTCTATGGCCTGCATTAGGTGGGATTTCCCAATGCAGGTGTCAGTGACCAGCAGTGAAGTGTCAAGTGCAGACAGAGTTAATCACAGTGTCCTCCAGTTCATCATCAAAAAATCTTTTTAAATTGTACATAAATGCAAAAACACCCCAAATAGATAATAAAACGTTTATATTCATTTATCAGAAGTTGTATGATAGTGGGTACAGCTGCAGCCACCACAGGCAACTATTTTAACCTGCTATAAACATGCATAAACAGACTGGCATTTTGTGCATTCCTGCCTGCTGATCCTCGGCCACAAGATGTGAAAGCATAAGATCAAAAAAATAAATAAAGCCCTGAAAGAGCATAAAGCTACCACATCCATGAACTAAATACATAACACACTACCAATACCCCTTGAGACTTTAAAAGTATATATACATTTTTATAAAATACGGTTGATCATTAATTCACAAATAATTCTCATACAGTATCCAGATGAAAGCCTCAATGTGTTTCAAATCAAGAGTCTAGATTTTCTTCAGGGGGCATAGCCGGATATCCTAATCCACATACATAATGAATGAATCTGACTAGAACCATAAAAGAACAGATACTTACTCCGGACCACCAGCACCAAAAACGAACCAGAAAGTCCAACAAGGAACCCACAAGGATTCAAAATGCTAATGGGGGAAGAACAAAAAGGGCCACCATCCCCACATAAAAAAATGCCCCCTACCCAGAAATGCAAACTCACACATTATATATATATATATATATATATATATATATATATATATATATATATATATACACACACATACATACATACACACATACATACACACACACACACACACACACACACATACACACGTGATTTTGCGCACCTGTGGTGCCCTGTAGCAGTACTTCTGCTATAGGGTAGACAGGAGGTGGTTAATTACTGTGACCTATGCCAACCCAGTATAGTATTTGCTCAGCAGTCATCTTTGCTGACAGTTCACCATTTTCCCTACACTGTACCGCCAATACCAGATAGAGTCACTGACTGCAGAATCTAGAGATCATCTTCTATGGTCGCTGCTCGTGACATTTATTCAAGCACGCACAGATTGCAAATATTTGTAATGCATATGTGCAGCAAGATGATCTCTTCTATGCTGTGTATCTTATTAACTTGATTGTTTATTTTACTGCACTTCGTTGCATTCCACCTATGGTTTTACTAGTGTACGCCAGTTCTGGGTGCCAGGACAATGAAAACCGGTTACATTAATGAACAGTAAAATTGAAAATCAGTGCTTCCACAAAAAGCTGTGACACTTACACAAAATGACAATGAATGAGGAGTAATAAAAAAAGAAAAATGATCTTTTCCGTGTGGGTCAAGACTTACCTTCCATCCTGTAACACTGTATGCTTTTCCCGCACTTCCTATCGTTATAGTCCTTTCCCACATTCCTGGTAAAGTTGCTGGAATAAGAAATAAAGGACACTGCAATCACTGTTTCATCACAACAGCAGCATAGGACATGAATAACAGTTTTGTGATGCATTAATGCACGTTAATTCTTGCATTAATGTGTGCTTTCTTAAGGCAAATGCCAACATACCCAAACTGCAGCTGACCCTGATTTGTGAACACAAAGCAGTGCAGTACAGAACAGAAGTTGGTGTGCCAAATCATCATTATCCTATGGACTGCATTGTGAATCTGCATAAGCATATTGGCTACAAATGCTCAGGATTTTACACCAATGACAGCCAAATGCAAAATAACAATCAGATTTATTATTGCATTTCTAACAACTTCCTCAGTTGCTGCAATTCAAATAATATTTACAACTAAATACCTAACTGAAATGCAAATATTTGAACAGTGAACCTGCCAGATGTTTGTAATATCCTATAGCATCCCTGTAATCTTCATCTCTGGAAAGTGGCTTCAACACTTCTAGGTACTAGGCTGATAGTGCTGAGCAATGCTACGATGCCTAACTAGCTCACAGCACATACCCTCCTCATAAAGCGGAGTTCCACTCATCTGTCAAAAAATAAAAGTCAGCAGCTACAAAAACTGTAGCTGCTGACTTTTAAAAAACAGCCACTTACCTGTCCCTTGGTCCCGTGGTGTGTCCCCCGCAGCCCGTTTCACCGGCCATCCTGGATTCCAGGAGGCCGGCATCTTCAGTGTGGGCACCTGGCTGTGACTGCTTGCGGCTTCACAGCCGGGTACCCACTGCACATGTGCGAGTAGAGCTGCACTTTCTGAATGGTCTTGTAGTCTTCTGGGACCTGTCACATGTCCCAACAGACTACAGGAAAGGAGGGAGGGAGGACACCTTCTGTGTCCGATCGCCTAGGCAATCAGACTGGAAATGGGAGCGTGTACCTGTCAAATTCAGGTACCCGCTCCCCCGCCCCCAAGGTGCCAATCCTTAATGGGGAGCGGGGGAGCAGTCCTTAAAGCGGAACTTCCCCTTTTGGGTGGAGCTCCGCTTTAAGGGAAGGAGGGAGGGGCTGTGAATATATAAACAGGAGTTTCAGTATTAGGAGTACCTAAGGGCACTAGGGATTTCTTTAATGCCTGCATGATTGGACAAAATGGTGTTTGTGACATTTATTAAAGTTGGAAATAAACGTTTTGTTAAAGCACTAAGAATTTTTTTATTTTTTCATTGTTCTGATTGCACTAAACCAGGGAAATGTGGACCCTTAAAAGCAATATTAAACTCTCAGTTTTTAAAGAACTTTCAGCAGCAGATATAATCACCTACTGAATGTGCAGCTTCTTTATCTTTTAAAAGTAAGAGTTCACCTTCGGGAACATGTTCTACCCGCTTTTAGGGTGATCTTCTCCCAGCACCTGCTTTCACAATTTGAAAAGATTGCAGCCATGCGTGGCACCACCCAGATGGCCACGTCAACTATTCACAGAGTTCTGTGAATGAATACCTATAAGTACAGTCAGCCTTTGCAGATGACAGCTTGTAGTTCTCAATGAACTGCAAGGGCGCTTGTCAGCACTCTTGTATTCCGTTGAGCTTCCTGGTCTGCAGTAACTGCTTGTATTAGAGGCATGGGCAGTCAGCTACACTGACTGCAGGAGCCTAATATTGCACCTGCAATCTGCTGTTCACGGGTCCAGTGCTTTATAGGCTCCTAAGAATAAATAAATAAATTAAAAAAATAGTAAATGCACATTTTTTTACCTGCAAAAAAATGTGCTTTTTTTTTTTTTAAGGTGAACTTATTCTTTAATCCTTTTCTATGTTTCAGTTTAAGCAGGTGCCACGGTGACTGCCCCGGGTCTTCTCTTTCAGAGTGGCTCCTTCCTCCTGCAGCATCCTATGGGGTCACTCTTGTATGCAGGGACTAGAGCCATGTCTCCCTACACTGGGTGCATCAACACACAACCTCATTGCTTAGCAAGGCACTCCCCTGCTCCCACCCATTCTCCAAGCTAAAATACTGGCTTGGGACTGCACTGTCCATTGGTAACTTTTTCTGTGAAGACCAGAATTTCAGGGAAGCAGCACTGAGAGAGCAGAAGCCAGGTCCACTAAAAGATGTAAACTGCAAGCGCTGGGGTAAAGATTTTGACAAATAGTTTACAGGGGAGTTTTTATTTTATTTTACTTAAGCTAAAACACTGTGGGTTTCATACCACTTTAGTCCTGCAAATTGTGCATAATCCCGGGACTTGGAATTACCTTACTAAAGGGGTACATCAGGAGGCACAGACTGCAATGGACAGGAAATTGTGTGCAATGGGTAAATTATACATCTCTCCGTGGTGTCCATAACTGAGAATGCTGCTACAGTCAGTTCACAAGACTTCAATTCAGACAATAGCACTAGACACAGAAATGTGCTGGAAGCAGTTAGAGGGGATAGAAGTGATTTGCAGCAGTGTTCCAATGAAACACACCACAGAGGTTAGAGAATAGTTTGCAGATTGCACTTACTCCCCCAAACACTACCAGATAATGCTTCCCAGAGTTTTACTTAAATGTAGTCTGGAGATGTTTTTTCCTAATTTGTCCATGTGCAACACAGTTTAATTTTGCTACAATGTAATATAAACAAAACTTAAGGTATAATTAAAAGGCAAAAACTTTTTTTTTCAGTTTTGGATAGAATAGAGAAGGATTAGAACCCCTGTCGGTTTTTTATTGCTGTCTGTGTCCCTGTTAAGGAGATTTCCCCCCCCCCCCCCCCCCCCATTTGTTCTATTTACCATTGTCAGTGAAAGTTGAAGAAAATCCCAAATTTTGGGTTGTCACCAGAAAAGTAATAGAGCAGAAATATTCCAATGGAGACACTAGTTCTGGTGACCTGAGGGTCCCCAAGGAATTCCCTTCAGTTATAGGAATTTCCTCCCATTTCCTGTTCGGCTATGGGACAGGAAGTGAAAGTAAATCTCCACAATGGGGCACAGATGACAAAAAAAAAAAAAAAAAATCTGACAGGGGTTATAATCTTACCTTGCTTTATCCAAATTGAAAAAAAAAAAGAAAAAAAAAAAGGTTTTGCCTATAGTTCTACATTATTGCATCAGTTTCACATTACCTATTTTTACATGCCGGCTTCCAGAGAACACCAACCATTCATAGACTTCATCACTAATACAGAGTGTGTCATGTTTTATACACAAATCTGCAATGACCTGTAACTCTTGTGCTGTGTATACCTGAAAGAGCAGGAGAAAATGAAAAATGTTCAAATGTAAGTAAAACCAACGTTAAAGAAACAAAAAGTAGGTGCAGAGGGAGAGCGAAAGATTTTGTATAATTTTACGGTTACTAAAATTACTTTTGTTCATTCATTGTACAGCCAGCTACAACATTCTAAAAAGTGACAAAGTAAAAAATTGCTTCCTTCCTGGGGGGTTCTGAACATTGTGGATGTACACTATTCCAGAAAGGAAACTTCCTGCCCATTGGCTTTCAGGCGCTTCTAACAGTTTTCCTTTTACTGCTTCCCCAGGCATGATCATGTGACTATAGATGGACAGCCCTCCAATTAGCACTCAGGAAGAAGGAACTGAGTGTATAGGCCAGTTTCAATATAGATGCCAGCTGGTAGGCTTTCCCAATGATGTTTGGCAAAATCCTTCCAATGTAACTGACTGGGGAATATGCTCAGCAAAATGGAGTCACACCATTCATAAAGTGCGCAATCTTTGAAGTGATAACAATGAGCAAAATTCAAATACAATGTTAATGTTCAGTCCCAACATGTGAATAATTGGTGCAACGGTGCTGTATCTTTTAACGGTGAATCTCCATACTGAAATGACAAGTGCTTCACTGTGTTCACACTGGTGCCCCACATAGATGTAAACTCACCATCATTTCATGACCACGTATCTTTAGGTAAGTCACACTCGCTTTTGGGATTATCCCAGTATGCAATCTGGTCCTGATGGCCGATATTCCTTCGCCCTTATAACCATGGTTGCTGGTAATAACCAATAACTTTCCACTAGGACTGTATCAATGTTAGGAAACTCCTCTCCTCCACAGGCAGTATTTCATATTTTCAGCATAAATTAAAACAAAACCAAACATCCCAGAGTGTAAAACTGTATAGAACTCTAATATGGGGTCAAACAATAGAAATGCCACTCACAAAAAAACTGCCTTTCCTGGCACTAGGTGTATTCAGCTTTGTATATTATGAATGGGAATGGGAATTTTTTTTGTACTTCCAGAAGACAATCCTGAACGTGTCAAGGGCTTATGACGCAACGTCTGCTGACGTCACTTCCGGTATTTGAAATGCACGCTGGGACGCAGCGGCCATCTTAATTTTTCTGCTTACTAGTCTTTATGAATGGGGGCTGCATTTGTTTTCTTTTTTTATGCCCTCCCCCCTTTTTTTTTACCTGGGGATCCTGCCAATACTACACCTCCTGTCCTAGTTGACAATGCCCACTTCATGTTCGGCACATACGCAGCTTCTGTACCTATGGAGTAGCGGCACTGTAAATCTAGGACAGGATGTGTGTTAGGACTACAGCTCTCACTTTTCTCATAGCAAAACACAGGGGAAGGTATGTAGTCCATATACAAGTGAACTGGCTAGGACTGATAATACTGCAGAGTGCAACGACTCATAAAGATATAACAAAACATATTCACTGGTATATAACAGACCAAAAGGAAACAGAGATGTTCATTGTTAGGGATTACAAACATTTTACATGGTTTCTTTCTGCAAGTCAGTATTTCTGTAATGCTAGCCACCCATGGCAATTTTCAGGCAATTCCAACCACTTTTAACCAGTTTACAATCACAAAAACCACCAAACCAATTTATATCAAACTCCAACATACACTGACCATTTTGTGGCACTAAAACTGTTGTCGGTAGGCTACATTCATCCATTTTTGCAATCAAAATAGTTTAAGTCAGTGCTTCTGTAATGATGACCACACATGCAAAGTTAACCACTTTCAACCAGCTTACAATCACAAAAACAACCCAATTCAAATGAACTGAACATCAACACAACCACTTCACGAGCAGTTTGTTGGTGGCAATCAAAAGCTGGTTGAAATTGTCTGAAAACGTGTGTGACCTGCATGAATGTGGGATACATGCCAAACGCAACACTTGTCCTAGCCGTACATAGTACTCAGTGGCAGGGTTTAGAATTTGTACCAGAAAAAGTGACTGGAATTACAATAGACAAATCTTACATCCCGAGATACTGTACAAAAAATGTCCTATGGATAGCTTGTGCGAAAAAACAGAACAGAACGGTCTCTTACGGGCCATTCCAGGGTGTTCACACTTGTATATAATCTTGTTACTGAAATACAGTGCAATCACAGTACCTACCTTGCCCATAGGATTGTTTGGAGTGTTCAGTATAATGGCCTTTGTCTTGGAACTGAATTTGCTGGCTAGTTCTCCAGGGTCTAAAACCCAGTCAGAACTCAATACTGTTCCTTTTCCACTATCCTTCTGTGTATGGAAAGCATAAATATACAATATTATACCATATAATAAGTATAAGATGGACACATAATACACCATATGAAAAAAAAAAAAAATTGCTAACATTTCATGCGACAATCAACGGTTTACAGCCACAACTGTCCCATAATTTAAAGGTACTTAAAGCATTAACAGTCTTCCCCTTTCTCCACAGCAGACGAATGACTCAGCACTTGTTTTTCTCAGGGATAGGCTAACACAGAGTAATGCTTACCAGCAATCTTCCTCCCCACTGGTTCCAGTCTGTCAGCTGATGCCCCAAAGTCACTCTTCTTGGCAGTCTCTGACCAATCTTGTTGCTGCCCCTCTTGGCAGTGTCACCATGTACAGTGTAGGATCAGCAGAATAGGATGTGATGGCTGAATGTCCACATTCCAGAGCTGGGAAGTAGTGGACCTGACTGCCAGCTGTGATGGGACTGCGAATTAAGGTAATTATTACTGTGTTTTATCCCATCTCCTTAAAAAAAACAAAATCACTAGAGCCTTCATCTAGTCTGGGGGGTAGATTTTTTTTTTTTTTAATGCCTGAAATTATACTATAACACCTTCCCAACGAGTGTATGCATATATGTGGCACTATGGAAGTCACAAGGCTCTGCCTTGGCTAAACAGCTACTAAGCTCAGTATGTGAACCACTTTAAAGCCTAAATGTGCCTGCTTTTTTCAGGCCCCATAGCTACTGAACCAGTTGTTAAATACATTTTATCAGCTATATAAAAGAGCCTGAAGGGCCTGCTTTGGCCAGCTCACATAGGAAACTACTGTATATTGCTTTTGTTCCATGTCAAAGGCCAAAAGCATCACAATTTACCTTGTTCAGACTGACAAGATGGCAATGTCATGTAAAAGGCTTGAGAGTCTAATTTCCCCTTGTCAATCCTAAACATTGGCTTGCAGCACTTATTTTGCCTTGCACAGATAGAAGCTAAAGCTGGCCAAAGATGGGTACAATTTCAAAGGTAAATTCTTAAGAAAAGACTGTTCTAAGAAATTTCCATATAAAAAGTCTCCCAAACAGCAGTAAGGAGAACAAAATCCAATAGGACTTTAAACCCTTCCCACAGCCGTCTCCCGGTCTTTAAGAGCTTCTAGATAGGGCATCTGGGTCATGTGACCGCTGTGATTGGCTGTCACAATTGGAAAGCTCCCGAAATTATGAATCAGGAGCTTGCCAATCCTTGCTGGCTACCATGCTGGGAGCATGTGGGCAGCGCACTCTCAGCATAGTAAGTTGTACATGTTGTGTGGAGACACCATCAGAACCCCCAACTGTCCAGAAAATGGGTTGTGTGATACGAAAATAGATCCAAGTTGGCTCATAATTTCTTATTGCATTGGTTTGAAAAGAGACCCCTTAATGTATCACCTGCAGGATAAAGGACATTTTGTGGACTGGCATTTTATTTCTGGTGCTTAATATGAGATCCTCAGTGGGTGAGAATTGTGGCTCTCTCCCATGACCTAAGAGTAAAGCCATGTCTATCTTCAAAATTTAGGCCTGAATCCTGAGGAAGCAATTGGACTGCGAAAAGCTTCAATCCCTTACACCATTGTTACATTTGTACTTATATAATTATTATTATTATACAGGATTTATAAAGTGCCAATAGTTTACACAGCGCTTTACAATATAAAGGGGGACAGTACGATTACAATACAGTTCAATACAGAAGGATTGTAATGACAACATGGCAGCTGATGCACTTTAGTGCATGCCTTTTTAATTTATTTTAATCATTGTAATAAAGACTTGTTGTATTTTAACTCACTGTGACTGTATATTCCTATTAGGGCACATTTAAAATCCCACTGGATTTAATTCTCCCTACTGCTGGTTGGAAGTTTTTTTTTTACGGAAATTGATTGAAATTAGGGATAGTGGCTTAATGAGAAAATTGAAAGGCAGCTCCACCCACATTTATTGCATGTAATATTCTAAGAAAGTTTGTTTGATTTTCTAATCATTAGTGGGTCAAATCAACATTTGTTTTTGAACGCAGTGACAATAATATTCTAAGCAGCAGGATGGAAAATGTTTCACACAAACAAATTAATTTCTAACAGTTTAATGAGCATACGCATTTTCCCTAGCCTTTTCCAAAGAATTTTTGTTCTGAATTATATCCATCTATGGCCAGCTTAAGACTTTTATAATTATGTCAGCCATTTGAAGTGCCTGAACCAGGGGCGGACTGACAACTCATGGGGCCACTGGGCAATAGGGGATCATAGGGCCCCTGTGTCTTTGCCCAAACTCAAAAAAGCCTATGAAAAAGGTACCAGGGGCATCTCATGGGGCCCCCTACTGACCCCGGGCCCTCGGGCAATGCCCGAGTTTTCAAATGGTCAGTCCGTCCCTGGCCTGAACTTCCTACTTCATGTTCAAAGACTGACCCACAGCCCCATATGTCTAATTTCACCCTGATCACACAGAAGCCGAGCCATTGAACAGCTAGCAGCACCTTGCCTTGGTCATGCAGATACACTGAGCTACTGTTCATTTTGTCTGCCATATCATAGCTTTGAAACATCGGTTTTGCCTAGTTCACACGGACCCAGAGATGCCTGTTCAGGTTTCAGAACACCTATTTTCCTAAAAAGAGCCACTAAGCCAGTAAAAATATATGGACAAGATATTAAATAATTCTACCCGTTATAGTCCCTTTCAAAGTGACTAGATCCTTCAGTTGTTTTATCAGCAATGGTGCCTCACAGACAATCGAATTCAAAATTAAACTCTAAAGCTGACTTTTCCTATAAAAAAAAATGTTCATATAATACTTACATATCTCAGTGGAATGTGGACAGGCATCGCCCCAGCCATCTTTATCATAGGCTCATAACAGTCGTAAAATGGATCAATAATTATCACCTGTATCACAAAACATAAAAAGCAGAGAATAGTATGAAATAAAATAGTGATGGTATCTACCAATGGTTACGATCATTGTTACTGATGTATACAAAAGAAAAACTACTGCTTTCGCAAAAAAGAACACTTCCCTTGGTAGTCACCGATTTATATATGGATGAACTTGAAATCATCAAGAGCTGGTGTGCACTAAGTGTAATAAGCAGCTCTAGCAAACCATCCCACACATGATTATATAGGATTTATAATAATAGGTCATACGTGCATGATCAAACTTTGTAGTGGTGTAATAAGTTATTTTACTGCCAACTCTAAGGAATTAGTACAGATTTTGGACCCCACTACAGCATTTGCATAGGCTACAATAAACTTTGCCATAAAAAAAAAAAAAAAAAAAAAAAAAAAAATCAGCCAGAGGCTTGTACACAGGCTTGTAAATGCGTGCCTACAAAGCAATGTGAACCACAAGCATTTACAAAGCTTCTTATAATTCTCACAAATTATGAGATATTGGAAATCACTTCTTATTGACCATGGGAAGGCACTGCGCTTAAATCCTTTGGACAATGTAATTAGTGTGAGACGTGTTTCTATCTAAGCCTAATGGAAGTTTCTGAACCAATAATTAATCATCAAAACGAATGTTCTATGTTGGCAAAAAGACACAATAGTTGATGTTCTAAAAGATAAGATTATCTCAGGATACTTGAGTGTTAGACAATTGATGATCAATGAGAACAAGAAAGAAACACAATTCAAAATTTTACACACAGCATACCTGGGATTTTATCCTAATTTATATATTTTATCAGAAAATGTAAGGAGACGAAAGCCATGTTCACTCACTGCTTATGACTTTGTAGACATATTCTATGCTTTTTGGAAAAAAGGTTTCCAATACATCACTGAAATTATGGGTTTGATTTGGCCTCAGACTCCTATATGAATATTTGGAAAGAGCCAATTTCATCAACCCATGTGACTTCCAGTGGACACACATCTATCCATTGGCAGCCAGACGGTGCATTACAAAAGCAGGAAGTCCGGTTCCCCTCTGAATATTTCATAACTTAGACAAAGCTTGTAATATTTTTTTTACATTGAAAAGATGGATGTGGATAGGCGGAAATGCATTGAGAAGTCTTTAATAGGGCTTAGATAAATAAATGTCTACATTTAAATCTACAACTTGGCACATCATGGAAAATCTAGGGGGCATTTTAGAGGCTAGGAGACTGACATAAATACAAAGCATTTGTCATAACTCATAGATATTCCTCTTATATTGGCTGGCTGAACTTATGTTATTATCCTTCTTTTCTTTTGTTGGGTTTTCCAACATCTGTTGCATTTTACCTTCAGGTATGAGAAAACTATCTACAACTTTATAATATGTCCTGACTGTCCTCACACCCAGAGGCCCAATAAAAAGTATAAATGTTATTACCTACGTGAATTCTACCACCTAAAGTGATTGTAAAGGCTGAAGGTTTTTTTACCTTCATACATTCTATGTGTGCTGCTCTCCCCACAGCCCCCCCTAATACTCACCTGAGCCCCCTCTCGATCCAGCTATGTGCACAGAAGCCTCAGCTGTCCCAGGCCTCTCTTTCCTGATTGGCTGAGACACAGCAGCGAGAGCCACTGGCTCCCAGATAAAGAATTAAGAGACAAGGGATAATATACATTGACGAGAAACCATGCTACTCTTGTTTTCAAACACCTGTAAACACAAAATGATTTCACTAGCATCTTAAGCTAACCATAGAATGTAAAAGGTGGTCAGATGTAAACTAGGTAGAGAGATGAACTGCAGACATTTCCAATGAAATGGGAAAAACAGTAGCAGCTGAAAAGGATTTTCTAACGTGCCCACTTGCTATTTCCCTGATATATTTTAATGTAGAAAGTTAGCTGGTAGTGTCTAAGACTACCTAAAAGATAATAGAGCAACACCTGATCTTGGCCAAAAAAATGGCAAAATTAGGATACTTTTCACCTAAAGTCTACAAAAACCTTTATCATTCCATTATGCCAACTTGAAAAATGCCCTGGAAAAGGAGAATCACAACATTTTATACATAATGATACAGTAACATGTAGATTATCACATTTACATATATAAATAAAAAGTCTTTAGGATTTCTTTAAGACAACAATGAAACTCACTTCATCACCTTCTTCTACTAACCCCTGGATTGCACTGAAAAGGGATCCATATGCTCCCACTGTTACAAGGATATCTTTGTTTGGATTGATCTTCCTTCCAGTCACTTTGCCATAAACCTGAGAGAGGGCATCTACCAGTGGTGGGTGACCCTTTAAAAAGTATTGCAGATCAGTTGTACAATATTGACAAACAGATTTTACAAAGATACTCAGCTAATGCAACTCTTAATGCAAATACTGAATATATCCAGATCTCAGTTATTTCCAATTACATTTTTCAAAACACAAGCTCAATAAAAGAACAATGAACCACTTAAGTGGCCACAAAAGAATCACTATGGATTTTAAGCAGCAGTTCCTCCTGTGGCTCTCAGGAGAGTAGGTGCAGCTGCCAGCCGTATTCACTATCATGACAGCCACACCTATTCGCAGCTCTCTACACAGCCAGCAATTACCTGTGGTGATCACTGCTGGACACACTGGGGTTTATTTACTAAACCTGGTTGACTCAGAATCTTGGGCACCTGTGCATGGTAGCCAATCAGCTTCTAACCTCAGCATGTTCAGTTAAGCTTCAGCAATAAAACCTGGAAGCTGATTGGTTTTTATGCAGAAGTGGACAAGATTCTGAGTCAACCAGGTTTAGTAAATAAACCCCACTTTGTCTGCATCCAGCAGCGATCACCGCAGGTAATCACTGGCTTCACTAAGGGGCACAAATAGATGCGGCTGCCAGCGATCTGTCATTCAACTGAACAGGCCCTGCGGCCGCACCTGTCCTCTGAGAGCCGCAGGAGGAACTGATCATCAGCTATTATAATTGTTACTGTATTTTATGTGTGGCTCAAGACAATTTATCTTCTTCCAATGTGGCCCAGGAAAATCAAAAGGTTGAACAGCCCTGGTTTATATGTAATGTTTCTTTTTATCAATGTCACTATATGGTGTAAAAAATAGATGTAAACAACTAATCCTAAGAAGGGAAGTGTAGAGGCAAGGCTGTCCCTAGGTTCCCTTATAGAGAGAAATCAGAAACAAAGCTGAAATGTTCTATTGTGGAGAAGCCGAGAGCGCTGGCAGGGGTCCCTAGAAGAGGAAGAACGGGTCCGCTCTGTGCAAAACCATTGCACAGAGCAGGCAAATACAGGTGAAACTCAAAAAATTAGAATATCGTGCAAAAGTTCATTTATTTCAGTAATGCGACTTAAAAGGTGAAACTAATATATGAGATAGACTCATTACATGCAAAGCAAGATAGTTCAAAACGTGATTTGTCATAATTGTGATGATTATGGCTTACAGCTCATGAAAACCCCAAATCCACAATCTCAGAAAATTAGAATATTGTGAAAAGGTGCAATATTCTTGGCTCAAAGTGTCCAATTCTACTCAGCTAATTAAGCCATAACACCTGCAAAGGTTTCCTGAGCCTTTAAATGGTCTCTCAGTCTGGTAGGAATCACAATCGTGGGAAAGACTGCTGACCTGACAGTTGTGCAGAAAACCATCATTGACACCCTCCATAAGGAGGGAAAGCCTCAAAAGGTAATTGCAAAAGAAGTTGGATGTTCCCAAAGTGCTGTATCAAAGCACATTAATAGAAAGTTATGTGGAAGGGAAAAGTGTGGAAGAAAAAGGTGCACAAGCAGCAGGGATGATGGCAGCCTGGAGAGGATTGTCAGGAAAAGGCCATTCAAAAGTGTGGGGGACTTTCGCAAGGAGTGGACTGAGGCTGGAGTCAGTGCATCAAAAGCCACCACACATAGACGGTGTAGCAATCGTACGTACACAGATGGACGCGGTCATCCATCTTGCTCAAGACCCGCCATCTTGTATCTCTCTCTCTCACTCCAATCCCCCTCCTCAGGAATGTGGTCTGTGTGTGTATGCGGAGTTCAAAAGGTATCAGGCCTCAGCTGGAGAGCTTCATGGTTATAAATCCCAAATTAGCTGGTGCCCGGGTGTCTGTTAGCTTCTCAATCTGAGATATCATGAAACCATAAACCAGTCCTTCACTGGGCTTCAAAAGACATTCCAGCTAGCCGTAAAACAAACCTCACATTTAAAACCCACTTTTCCATATATATTTATATCTTAAGGTAGGAAATAATTACATAAACATAAAGCATATATTCGGATAGCTCAGTTTAATGAGTCATCTGATATCTTACACCCTTAGTGGAAGTCTACAGGAGAGCAGAAAGCCATATAGTTCTAGCTGAAATAGTCAAATATGGCATGTTTGGTATCTAGACGTTCAGCAGATGATTCTGCATATTAATCTACCCATGGATAGAATGTACATGTACCTAGGGAAGGTTATTGCCCTGGTATAACTTGTGAGGGATTTTGGTTCTAGCCTGAGTCCCCCGCCTACAACACCCCTCCCCAAACTTGTGAGGCGATTGGTTCTCTGCTGTAAGGAGATACCCTGCTGAGTTCCTAGAAAAAGGTTGTTATGCTTGGAGCAGTTGAAGAATACTCCCTTTTAACATCGGAACCCTTTTGCTCAGGACCCTTGAATCTGCTTAACCCAGGACTTTTGGCAAGTACTCTACCTCTCTAAATTTATGTTGTTATCTCTCTGTTGTGGTATTGCTCTCTGTATTTATATATACATATTGGCTACATCTTTTTCTGTAAATATTTTTATTGCACCCATTAGCCCTTTTTAGTAATAAATCCTATTATCTGAAAAGTGTTGAACGGTTTCCAAAGCTCCTTAAGGCAAACTAAGAATCCCTGTCTCTGAAGAGCGCTACTGTGTGTTCTAAACCTCTATATATCTCTGCCTGCAGTGACAGTGGTATACAGACGATTATTCAAACATCATAGTGTTATTGCTAATATTGGTGAGTTTCCTCTTTCTCTGTACAAAATGGAGGTGGTGGCAGTGTGAAGGGTTAATTGCGTAATTAACCTGACCCAGTAACAATCGCTCTCAGGCTGCGGTACATAGATTGTGGTCCATTAGCTGGAAAATCTTTGTGCAGGGTGCAGCTGAGCGTGGTATTGTTACACACAAGACAGCGCGGTTTTAGGTTGGCTAGTCCTTCGGTCACGAGTTGGTGAGAAGGGCTAGGGTCTGACGCCGCGATCGTCACAGACAGATCCTGGACATGGGCTTCAAATGTAGTATTCCTCCTGTCAAGCTGTTCCTGAACAACAAACAACGTCAGAAGCGTCTTACCTAGGCTAAAGAAAAACAGACCTGGTCTGTTGCTCAGTGGTCTAAAGTCCTCTTTTCTGATGAGAGCAACTTTTGCATCTCATTTGGAAACCAAGGACCCAGAGTATGGAGGAAGAATGGAGAGGCACACACTGCAAGATGCTTAAAGTCCAGTGTGAAGTTTCCACAATCTGTGTTGATTTGGGGAGCCATGTCATCTGCTGGTGTTGATCCACTGTGCTTCATTAAGTCCAGGGTTAATGCAGCCGGCTACCAGGAGATTTTGGAGCACTTCATGCTTCCTTCCGCAGATGAGCTTTATGGGGATGCGGACTTCATTTTCCTGCAGGACTTGGCACCTGCCCACACTGCCAAAAGCACCAAAACCTGGTTCAATGACCATGGGATTACTGTGCTTGATTGGCCAGCAAACTCGCCTGACCTGAACTCCATAGAGAATCTATGGGGCATTGCCAAGAGAAAGATGAGAGACATGAGACCGAACAATGCAGAAGAGCTGAAGGCCGCTATTGAAGCATCCTGGTCTTCCATAATACCTCAGCAGTGCCACAGGCTGATAGCTTCCATGCTACACCGCATTGAGGCAATAATTGCTGCAAAATGGGCCCAAACCAAGTACTGAGTACATATGCATGCTTATACTTTTCAGAGGTCCAATATTGTTCTATGTACAATCCTTGTTTTTATTGATTGCATGTAATATTCTAATTTTCTGAGATTGTGGATTTGGGGTTTTCATGAGCTGTAAGCCATAATCATCACAATTATGACAAATTACGTCTTGAACTATCTTGCTTTGCATGTAATGAGTCTATCTCATATATTAGTTTCACCTTTTAAGTTGCATTACTGAAATAAATGAACTTTTGCACGATATTCTAATTTTTCGAGTTTCACCTGTATAACATGAAACCAAAAGGTCCCAAAAGCACTTAGAGGATAGGCTCTTGCATAAAAGGTGTCGCCATGTCAATTCCAAGACTGGAATACCAATCAAGTCTCTGTGACACCAAACTTGTAAAATAAGGCACAAGCTAATTTATTGCAAATAAAACACCTGCTCTCTATGGTAATGTACCAGCCAGAGCAAAAAAAATGATGAAGTTCAATAAAATCCGCAATAAATGCACAACAAAGTAAAGTCATCCAGTTAGATGTAAGCTTACATAGCTTCAACAGTGGCAGAGGTGAGCCAATGTTGGTAAACAGGACTGTTCTACCCACCAGTGACTCTGGTTGAGCTGTAAGGACCCACCGTCAACGGGTCCATTAGGATTCTGGGAGTCTCTCGGTAACCTGCTAGGGCTCAGAGGCGGCGCACTGGAAGTGACATCAAAGATCTTCCTGAAGGAATGCCGCTAACCACATCTGGGACACAGGGTGGAACCGCACAGGATGAAGACCTCAACTGTCACCATGACAACACGTTTTGGGCATAACCCCTTCTCATCTCACCAGTGCCTAAAGCTCTACCAGAGTCACTAGTGGTTAGAATACAGTCCTGTTTACCAACATCAGCTCACTGCTGGCACTCTTGAAGTTATGCAAGCTTACATCTCCCTGGATGGCTTTTCTTTATTGTGCATTGCTACTTTTATTGAACTTTATCCCACCTTGCTGTGGCTGGTACATTACCATTGATCAAGTACAGTGCATGTGTTTTATCTACAATAATTTGCCTTGTGCCTCTTGTTTTACAAGTTTAGGGTCACAGAGACTTAATTAGTATTCAGGTCTTGGAATTGACATGGTGACAACTTTTATTCAAGCGCCTATACCTCTAAGTGCTTTTGGGACATTTGGTTTCAGGTTTGCTTCTTTTCACCACTCCTGGTGATTTTCCTGTGAAGCATCTGGAGACTAGCAGCTACTATAGACTAGAGTCATTCTACATTTACCTCACTGCCTAAACAAAAAGTTATATATAACTTGTCTGCAAATATCTGTATTATATAGAAAAACCTTAATCTACATGTTTCAGGAGACCAGCTGAATATATTGTAAGCAAATCCTGACTTGCAGACAACCGAGATCTGGCTATATAATTATAAAGGTTTCTTGGGTGCTAAAACTGAATTGTGGAAGGTAAAATGGGACAGGGTAGTGCCAGAGCTCCAATTAAGCTGTGAGATGCTTATGGCATGCACTCAAGATTTAGGGGTCCCTCGCAACTGCAGAACAAGCTTTGCTATTTGACAGTTATGCACATCACCTGGTTATGGTGACAGGCCATTAGAAGTAAAGGAAACTATAATGAGCTCATTTCCACCAAAGTTCTGTAATATATTGACACATGACATTTTATGCTTCCACATAGGTATGTCCGCTTGAAGCAAATGTTCCCTGTTCATGGAATGCATTGAATGGTTGCAATTGTTCTAACAATATATTTGGGTTTATCTATCAACATAAAATTGAAATAGTGCCTAACACAGTGCTTCTTTAATGAATCATTCATAAATCTTTCATCAATAAACTCTCACCCAAGCTTTCCTTTCATGTCATCACAAATCTAACATGAAACGGAGCTTAACCAGAAATACACTGATTGTATGCAAAGTGAAATATTATATTCCAAAAATCAAATTGTTAGTACTCAGAAGTACTGAGTAAGGAGTGCTTACAAGGTGCTGCGGGTTATCATACAATATTTATTCAAATCAGTTTTTGTCCTCTTGGTTACTATACTAACTCTAATGCTAATGATGCCAGTTTCCATCTACACTGAGCAACAGTCTGATTACTGGGTATTGTTGGGGCAAAAAAAAAAAAAAAAAAAATTACTTACAAAGCCACGTGTGTACTGATTCAGTCTGTCCACAGCCGACACTTGAGCAAGACCTTCTTTGACATAAGATGGAGGTGATATATCTGGAAACCCCTGACCAAGATTGACTACAGATGGATCTGCAGCAAGGGCTGTAAACTCAACCCTGTGGAGATACATAGAAGCATTACCCAGGTAAAAGCAAGGAGGAAAACACTGCTTTATTAATAAAATGTGTACGTTTCAAGGATAAATTCACCTATAATTAAAACACTGCCTCCCTGACAAGCTTTGTAGAAAAATGTTAACACCTAAAACCACCTCATCTCATTCTGTCCAGCTTTGCCCCCCATTGACTCAACTCAGCGACCCAGTATCAGTGCTCTTCTGGACTGAATGATGCAAAGTATCACCCAAACCACATCTTGTGAGTCATCATGTACACACTCTATGTGATTAATGGAGGGTGTCATCAAGCTGGACTGGGCTAAAAGCAAGAAGAAAAGGAAAGACCTATGCCCTCATGTGACTGACCCAAAGACTGCAAAAGTTAATGTTTTGTATGTATAAATAATTAAAATTGGGAGGGAGTATTAAATGCCACTGCCCAGCCATTCGGGGGCCAGTGTACTGATTTACAGTAAATCTCTGTCTGAGGTTTCTCATAGGTACAAAGGTGGGGTGTTATGCGCACTTGGCACCCGGCTGTCAAGCCCAGCGCCCACACTACAGAAGCCGGGAAGACAGCGTGCCGCTGGCTAGAGGAACAGGTAAGGTCAAAGAACAACTCCGCGGAAGTAAGAGCGGGTACCTGTCAAATTCAGGTACCCGCTCCCCACCTCCCCAAAGGTCAGCAGTCATCTCCGCTGCAGAACTGTGCGGCTGGCCCGGTATTCTGACACGGCGGCGGTGGAAATACCAAGCCGGCCGCTCCATATTCGCTCCATAAGACGCACTGACATTTTCCCCCCTTTTTTGGGGGAAAAAAGTGCGTCTTATGGAGCGAAAAATACGATATGTCTGTTCACAGTTCCACACTGTATTCAAATTTTATTTTGCTAAAGTCAGCTCGCTTAGTTCATAATGAATTACTGCACTTTACATTTCACTTTGAACACACCTGTTTAAAAAGCAAAAAGAAACATGGTGTAGGTGAAAATTATATACTAGGAAATCTGATCATACTATATAATTTAACAGAATAACAGCTTTCAGTAATAATAGTGGGAAGATATACAGTAAATGGTTTGAATAGATTACCTGCCATTGTGTCCTTTTCTTTTCTAATATATATATATATATATATATATATACACACACACACACACACACACACACACACACACATACATACATATATATATATACATATACACACACATACACATATATATTTTATCACCAGCAGATGGTAGTATTGAGTTAGAACTCCATCACGGTCTACTCTAGATTGATCATTAACGTACTTCTAGGGGCACTGTGATATATAGGGGACTGCACTGTAATGAATACAGTGCCCCTTTACAGTGCAGTCCCGTTATATCACAGTGCCCCTTTACATTACAGTGCGGAGGACCGACTCCATTAATAATCCGTCACCAACCGCCCCCCCGCGAATGCCAAGACTTCTGGTAAGATCAACAGGTATTGTGTGAAGTTATCAAATAGACATGACATAAAATGCTTTTACTGGTAAATTTAAAATACTAAAATTTACCAAATAAAAGTAGTTAGGGTTTAGATATGCCTCAAGCAAACAAAGCTGTCTGTAAAGAGTTAAGAGACAGATTACACACTAGAGACACATTTGTTATTATTTGCCCTTCGAGCTCTAACATTGCTAGTTATAAGCATCACAAAGACCATCAGTACCGATTTATTGCTTGAACTTTACAAAATATAAATCAGTGTATTTTGCATGACATGGAGTTTTATAGTATATTAAAAAGTGGTTCTAAAGGCTTTTTATTTTATTTTTTTTAACAAACATGTCTATACTGTACTTACCTGTGTGCAAGGCAGCCCAGATCCTCCTCTTCTTGGGTCCCCTGCCAGAGCTCCTAGCCCCTCCCTCCTGCCGGGTGCCTCACAGCAAGTAGCTTGCTATGGGGGGGGGGGACACTGTTCTGTGTATCCATTCACACACAGAGCTGCAACTTAGCCCCGATTCCTCTCTCTTCTCATTGGCTCTCTGACTGTGATAGACAGCAGCGGGAGCCAATGGCTTCAGCTCCTGTTTCAGCCAATGAGGAGAGGGAGTCCTGGGACAGATGAGACTCGAGTGCACATCGCTGGATCGAGAGGGGGCTTAAGTGAGTATTAGGGGGGGCTGGGGGGGGTTGATGCAGAGAATGCATGAAAGTAAAAATAACCTTGAGCCTTTAGAACCACTTTTAAGGGTAGGTTCATGTTTGTGTGTTGCAAAAATATGCACAAAATGCACGCTTTCCAAACAATATACAAAAAAAAGGACAGCCTTTTTGCAGTTACGCAAGGTGCCATTAATTCTTAAAGGATAAGTGCACCCTTTGTAACATGTTACGCCCGGTTTCAGGGTGTAACCTGTAACGTTTCTGTTGCAGCAGCCCCCACACCCCCCAATCCTCAGTTGTGACAGTAGGCCAGGGATCCTCTCTCCACACCCTCTGTCTCAATTTTTATTTAAAAAGCGCCCATGTAGGGCTCCACCCACCCAACTGCGTTATTCATTCATAGAGTTCTATGAATGGGAGAACTATAGTTACCGACAGCTGACAGGTTGCAGTTCTCAATGAACTACCAGGACGCTGTTGAGCGCTCTAGGTAGTTCATTGATGCTTCCTGTCATTCAGTAACTGTCCGCCCATATGAGGTACGAGCAGATACACTGACAGTCTGCAGGATTCTGAGATTGAATGCGTGATCTGCTGATCAAGGGTGCAATACTTTGCAGGCTCCTAGTAAAAAAATAAATTAATTAATTAAATAAATAGTACTTTTTTTAATCTTCAAAACAACGTTCATATATTATTTTTATTTACAAAATGTGAACTTATCCTTCTAGCAGTGCATGCGGTTTGGTGCAGCACGATCTTTAAAAAGGGTCATGCACTCCCTAAGTATGCTTTTCGCATGCAGGGCAGCCAATGGAAATCAATGGGCTGCCCTAATGCGTGTGTGTGCGTGTCTTCACACCTGCATTGATGTGAACAGAGCCTCAAGGAAACATTTACTGAAAATAATATGGTTGCGATCCGTCTCCTAAAAATACTAGTTTGCTGGCTATGTTTTTGCGACACTGACCCCAAGCAAGCATGTGTGCTAACAAAAGACAGAGTTAGATGGATAGATATACACATACATACACACTATATTGCCAAAAGTATTGGGACACCTGCCTTTACATGCACATAAACTTTAATGGCATCCCTGTCTTAGTCCGGAGAGTTCAATATTGAGTTGGTCCACCCTTTGCAACTATAACACCTTCAACTCTTCTGGGAAGACTGTCCACAAGGTTTAGGAGTGTGTCTATGGGAATGTTTGACCATTCTTCCAGAAGAGTATTTGTGAGGTCAAGCACTGATGTCGGACGAAGGCCTGACTCAGTCTCCACTCTAATTCATCCCTAAGGTGTTCTATAGGGTTGAGGTGAGGACACTGTGCAGGTCAGTCAAGTTCCTCCACCCCAAACTCGTTCATCCATGTCTTCATGGACCTCGTTTTGTGCACTGGTGCGCAGTCATGTTGGCACAGGAAGGGGTCATCCCCAAACTGTTCCCACAAAGTTGGGAGCATGAAATTGTCCAAAAAGTCTTGGTTTGCTGATGCCTTAATAGTTTCCTTCACTGGAACTAAAACCCCTGAAAAACAACCCCACACAATAATCCTCCCTCCACCAAACTTTACACTTTGCACAATGCAGTCAGGCAATTCTCCTGGTAACCATCAAATACAGGACATGTCCATTGGATTTACAGACAGAGAAGCATGATTCATCACTCCAGAGAATACATCTCCACTGCTATAGAGTCCAGTGGCGGCGTGCTTTACACCACTGCATCTGCCTCTTTGCATTGCACTTTGTAATGTAAGGCCTGGATGCAGCTGCTCAGCCATGGAAACCAATTCCATGAACCTCTCTACACACTTGTGCTAATCTGAAAGCCACACACAGTTTGGAGGTCTTAAGCTATTGACTCTGCAGACAGTTGGCGACTTCTGTGCTTCAGCATGTGCTGACCCTGCTTTGTTAATTTACCTGGCCTACCACTTTGTGGCTGAGTTGTTCCCAGTTGCTTACACTTTGTTATAATACCACTAACAGTTGACCGTGTATTTAGCAGCAAGGAAATGTCACTGATGGACTTACTGCACAGGTAGCAACCAATCGCTGTATTACACTTGAATTCACTGAGCTCCTCAGAGCAACCCATTCTTTCACAAATGTTTGTAGAAGCAGTCTGCATGCCTAGGTGCTTGATTTTATACACCTGTGGCCATGGGGGGGATTGGAACACCTGAATGCAATACTTTTGGCAATATAGTGTATATGTGCCAGGTCAGTGACTCGAAGTAAAGCCATTGGATTAGCAGTATATCAATGTAACTAGTGTTTACAAAAGGGGAGGTTAGTAAAGGCAGCCTTCACAGGTCCTCAGTACAGGTTTCCTTTAAGAAATTAACAAATATATTGAATGAACGTAGGGGGTAATGTCATTTGTTATTAATTTTAGACTTGGGGAAAGTAAATACTCCTGTCAAGCTTTAATTGCTATTCATGCCCCTTGTTGGGGAGATCTCACCTTACTTCCTTGTCCATGGTACAGAAGTGAGTGGGAGTGGTTGTCACAAAATAGTAATAACCTGCCAGAGGTTCTAATCCTACATTTTACTAAAAAGTGTGTTTTATGCCAGTCTGTGTCACACTGAAGAGATTTCCATCATGTTCTGGTATTTCCCCAGTGTTGATAAAGACACAAAAAGACAAGATAAAAACCCCATAGAGGTTATCTCTTCCTCAATGTGTCCAAACTACGGGTCGAGACTAAGTGGTTTACCTACACCTTAAGGAGAGGGACAGTCCATTGAGGGAATGCGAGGCACACATTAGAGGTGTGAAAGAGGCCATCTATGTCAAACCACCAGTGAACAGGGTTGTGTTCTCCACACCAGTGGTTCTAAAGCTGTGGAACCTCAGG